AGGGTCATATACGTCATGTGTGCACCGTGACGTTTTTGACCCCAGGGCAGCAGGAGGGTCATATTTGTCATGTGTGCACCATGAGCAGAAGACAAAGTGATGGAAATACAGCAGGAGCTGTGCTGCATGGCATCACTGCTCAGATATTTCTTCTGTCTGCAGAAACACTTAAAGACCATATTTTTTATTTTCCAAACATCTCGAGGCTCCAGTTGCACCGCCGCATATTTCCAGCATTCCTTGAAGGAATGCACATCACCCGCCACCGTCATGCCACAGACTTACTCTGAGTTGTAGCCATCTTGGATAAACCTTAAAAATAATGTTTTGCTCAACCTCTCTCTGAATGTGTGTTGGGGTTGACTCTCAGCTACTACCACAACAAATTTAAGTTCCACAACACGATGGAGCAGTGGTTAGAGCTGTAGCCTCAGAGCCAGAAGTGCACACGTTCTCCAGGGACGTTGCTTTCCTCACACTCACTAAAAACATGCATGTTAGGTTTGGTGGGTTTGATCACGTGAAGGAGACGCTCTCATGATTCACGTCTGCTGACGTTAACCTTCAGCTCCACTCGGCTCGGCAGGTTCTGACAACCAAGCTAGACGAGGGAGGGAGCGCAACAGGAACAACCTGAACGTGTGTTGTGTCGACCTGAATACCACTGAGTGGAGCCCATGGAGAAGAACCATATGATGGACTGGAGTCCAGACCAGGAGCCCCCACCTCTGGAGACAGATACCAGCCTCTCAGTGGATGAATGGAAGAATGATGAATGGATGATGATGGATGGCTAGAAGGATGATGGATGGATGGATGGATGGATGAATGGATGCAGGGTGGATGATGGATGAATGGATGTTGGATGGATGGCTGGATGATGATGGATGAATGGATGGATGGATGATGAATGGAACAAAGATAGATGGATGGATGGATGGATAGATGGATGATAAATGGATGGATGACGGAAGGATGATGGATGGAATGGATGATGGATGAATGATGGAAGGATGATGAATGGATGGATGATGAATGGATGGATGAATAGATTGCTGAATGATAGATGGATGGATGAATAGATGGCTGAATGATGGATGGATGGATGAATA